CACACGCAGGCTCTTCATTTCCACCCTTCAGTCCATAGGAAACCCCAGGGGCCTGGGATTAATACACACAAGACTGCGCTCAGGGACCTGGGACCTCGGCACTCCAGTTCTCCCCTCACACAGAGGCCTCCTGCCTCCTCTCCTCCTGAATGCAGGTTACTGCCATCGAGCTCCCCCTACGCACAACCATTCGCGAGGCTGTAATTAGCTTTGATTCGATTTGTGAGTCATGATCAATCAGCCTCAGCCACCGAGCCACTGAGGAGGTGCCTCCTTGCTTTGTCATTGTGCAGTGTGTTGAGCTCATCCTTACACATCCTTATTCCTTCCGTAAATAAGATCAGGAGGATGGCTCATGGTCCGCGAGAGGAGCCATTCGGCATGTCCAGCCGGTTTGGAACCTAGTTGCTAATCCTCATCCACCCGGTGTCTTGTCCAGGGTATCGGCTTCAACAGCATGACTGGGTAAGTTGCGCCATACTCCCACAACCCTGTGCGCAAAGACAGCCTTGTGTTCTGCAAATGTGCTTTTGATTTCTTTGTCTTTGGTTGATTGCTTTACCTTGTCTGTCAAAGACGGGTCATCATTCGAAGGAGGTTTGCATGAAGCGTGGCTTTAATTTTCTGATGTACACGCACAAGTCCCGGTCAACACAGTACAGAAGATGAGGCTGCTGCACAAATGTGGTTACACCGGAGCAGAGCTAGGAGGCTTTATCCTGCATCACCATATCCACAAGTGCACAGCATGATGATAACTGGCACCCAAAGGGGACTCACAGAGACTGCACAGGGTGACCGTGTGACAGGGGATCACTACAACAGTGTGGCATCACTCGAGACAACAGAGGCAGGAGTCCTCGCAGCTTTCCTCTCCGTGATGCAAACCTCTCTCACTCTTTGCACCCAGGCTTAAAAGAGCCTAAGATCAGTTCATTTCAAAAAGTAAATAATTCACCTAAATAATCAGACAGCTGTTTTTCTCTTTTCCACCCTTGTTGAGTGTCTAATTCCGCTGTCACCAGCACAGTCACCGGTCAGGAATGGCACAGATCTGCTTCAAACATGGATGCGCACGAATGCACATTGCACGACGTTACAGATGTGCATGATTCAACTCCACAAGCAGCTCGGCTTCCTGTAACACAGTCAAGACTTGACCTTTTTTTTGTCCAGTGTGAACAATGTGAGTCTGAAAGGCTTCAGGCAGGGGACAAAGGCGAATGAGGTCAGTGAAACATCTGCCTTACCTCAGGAGAGGACAGCACGCTCCAGGTGTGGTCGCCTGCCTCCAGATTGCGCTGCCTTCTTTCCGTTTAGATTCACCCACTGCTGCCCTAGCCTGGGGCAACTACACTCACCGAAACGGCACCCGTGTCGAGCAGCGTGTCCCCCTGAAACCACACACTTCCTCCCACACACAACGCAACACCTTACAACGCCCGACAACGGCGCGGTGCGATAGAGCTGGGCACAGCTGGGCTTCACCTTAAAAAAAACCGAACCCTGATAACTAAACTACCGAGCTGCAGAAAATCACGGCGACAACAATTGTTACAAAAATAATTTGTCACTTGGCAACTGGTCATCTTCTACAGAGGTCTCTCCCCTTACCTCAGCACAAAGCACTTTGTAATGGTTACAAACCTACATCAACACCGATAAAGTTCACAGTCAATACGGGTCTGTTACAATAGTTTGTAATCCATATAGTCTGCACTGTATTTGCAACAAGGGGGTCTGAACTTTTGTCTCACTGGCGTCATTCACTTCTGACTCTTCCGAAGTAGAATTAAATTTATAGTTAAATGACGTAAAACCGCATTTGTCAAAATATATAATGTAACGTTTTGAAAGCAAGTCAATCTCATCTTCAGATGTTACACCCCTTCGCTCTTTACTGTCGCAAATATGTCTCAAATATCTGGTAATACATTTCTAAAAATAAAAAACCACTAAATCAAAGCACAAACCACAAACCTTAGAAAACCTTAAAAAACAAACAAAAAATTCCTCATAAGAAAAGATTCATAATGATGAGCCCCAAATTGTCCAGAGAGTATTTTCTAACCTACAGTATGTAAAGTGTGTATTGTCAAGGGAAAGAATAGCCAAGGGTAGGAGAAGGGTTTTGACGATCCGTGAGGAATAACCTTTTCGGATTCCAGGCAGGTACACAGATGATCACTTATCAAAAGCGTCTGGGAACACGGAGAGGACAAACAGTTCGGTACAGCTCATACCTCTGAACTTTTTCTAGGATAAATACGTCGCATACATCTATGAAAATCCCGCGGTCCGTGTGTCCGATACCGATACTACGCTTTCTTAGTGTAAATACCGCTCCTGCAGCAGAACTGACAGCGTTATCACACTCCTGATTTTGCGATAGTCTGGGCGGTGAAGCGCGCGTTCTTTTCGGACGCGTCCAGATGGTCCGGAATACAGCTCTAAATCTTTCACAGACCCTGCCAAGATATTACTGAGCGGTGCTTTTAAAGCAACCGCCGGGTGGCCAAGTTATCGAAAGGGCAGAGGAGGAAGGAGAGACACGCATGATCTCCTCACCGCCTGTTCTTCATGGTCACCAGCAATCAGATTCGGGCGGGTTGGAGCCCAGCTCCTCGCGGACCGGAAATGAAAAGAAAAAGGACCGTGGATCCCGCTGCCCCGAGGACACTCACTTGCTCATCTTGCCCGACACCTTCAAGGTGTTGCTGTCCTTTTTCTTGAACATCCTGGGGTCCTGCGTGCCTCAGTCCCTGCGCGGATCCACAGCTCGCTCTCTCCTCTGCCACTGGCTCTGCGGGTCCCGGCGAGACACTGATCTGTTAAAGCGCTCCTGCCCGGCTCCACCCTGGGAGCAGGTGTGCCGTCACTGGGACACTTATCTTGTTTCACGGGACCGGGTCAACCTGTTTCACATTCCTGTTTGCTGCTGCTGCTGCTGTGGGGTGGGTTTTTTTATTTTGCGTTCTCTCCTTTGTTTTCCAAAGCGGTGTCCCCTACAAACCGAGCGGTCAACACATGTACCCCCAAGACCCCCCCCTTCAAGACACACGTCAGTCTGTTCACACTCTCTCCTTTATGCTTTCCTGTCTATTAGTGTGGTGACGTATTTAAAAGAATGGGGGAGGATACATGGATTAAATAGAATATAGCAAGCAAAACCCAGTCGTGTTAATCAAATAAGAAGACAATTAAAGCAGAATAAGTGACGTATTAAGACTCAAAGAGAAACATTAAAAAGGACAGTGCATGAGAGGAAGCTATCTGAGCCATCAATAGCTAATGAATTCCAGAATTTCAATGAAAAACTGGACACAGCCTGGAAAGGAAACACATCTGTGGGCACAGTCTGGAGTACAGGGGTGCTGTAGTGCCCCCTCCTGGGCGGGGTTTGGTATGGCAGCTTTAGTGGAGGGAGAGGGTGGGGAAAGTTCACACCTGCAGGTGGAGGAGCATCACTTCTGGAGAGAAGAATAACAGCTGAAGCAGCCCCTCCAGGACTATGGAACCCAAAGCCCACCTCCCCCTATTCCAAGACCTCGGAGCACACACGGAGACAGAGCACATGGACTCCTCACCTCCTGCATGTGCTACGCTCCGGTGTGGAGGAGCAGAAATCGTCTTTTCTAAAATCGGCCCTTGGAAGTTATAACTTCCTTACAAAACTCGGCAAGCACACGGACACATACAGCTTCCACATTGCTAGGTTTCTCAGACATTTAAACAATGTTTTCCGTTTTCCAAAGCCTTCATGGACTGACATCCCTTCCTTCAAAGGGAACGCATGGCTGCTTACTCTGGGGCGAGTCTAGAGAGATGCTTCCTGTCACCATGGAGACCAGGTCCACACAGGAAGTGCAGAGGCAGGCCCTGTGCTTGTGTTAGTGAGGACATACTCACTGCAAACGTCAGGAAAGATAAGAGTTCTTTCACACTACCATCCCTTAATTTATGGTAATTTGGTTTGTGAGCTTTACTTTTGCTAACAAAGGTCTTGTTTCATGGCCAGGGAAGACTCAGGGAAGTCTGCTTTTATCAGTGTGGCCACTAATCAACTAACTGATTGATTAATTAAACACAGCAGAGGGGAAAGGGAAGATCAATCTCGGCCTGCCCAGTGAGAATTCTCTTACCTTCGTTGTACCTGCTGCTTTTAAACAACATGGAGCCTTAAAAAACACACTAACTTGAACTCATCAGCAGGAAACGCAAATCAATATTTTCATTAGCATTTCATTTCTCACTTTCATAACTACAACATCCTTAAAACACTCAATGTTTTTTTTTGCAAAAATAAAAAAACACTGTATATGCCCCAATGAGACCAACTCCAGGTGCCAGACTCCCGCTCACCTCATCTAGTTTTTTTAGAGTGAAGTGGCGTTAGTCGCCCGAGCTGTGAGCTGCTGTCCGCCGGCCCTGTGTCAGGCAGAAGGATGTACGTGTGACCAGGTGTCGTCAAGTCGCTGTGCACATGGACCCCTGCAATGCAACTCATTGTTCTCAGGCTTTAATACGGGGTTCGCTACCCCTGCTCACACAAGCTGCGATGGGCTTGCAGGGCCTGGCCTACTCCGGGTGGCAGAGCAGCGTGGGAAGAGGAGAGGACTCGGCCTCATCCGGAGAGCCAAACTTCTGAGAGAGCTGAGGAATGCAGCCAGGCCAGTTCCAAGGCACCTCTGCAGCCAGCACGCCCACATTTCTGGCATATCACCTCCTGAAACCGGCACCTCTTCCCTGGCCCCTGCCCCCTGAACACCAAGCAAGGAAATGCAGCAGACTGTGCTCTAATTTCCGAGACTGCTTTCATGAAGCACAGACCCCACCACCAAAAAAAGACTCCCTTAAATTTAACGATAGAAAAAAAAATGCATCAATCTACAGATAGAGGGAACTTAAGAGCCATTTCTTCTTCCGGCTTTCATTCAGGCCCATTTACGGTTTCATCAGGAGTTCACGGCTCCCCGATCTCCACCCACTGATGCCTAAAGGCGGCAGATACCGTAGACCTGCAGACCTGTGATCTTTTTGTGGTGGACAAACGCTTAGTAAGTGAAAAGGCCAGGAAGGCAGCCCATCCTGGCACAAAACCACAATGCAAGACAGTGAGATTCCGGTGCTGCCACACACAGTACTGAAAACACTCAGGCGTGACAAGGACTGGTCTTCCATTCCACGCTGCCAACAGTAACGCCGCAGCACAGCTTCGGGCAAACACCTTTTCATTTAAAAAATAGGACCGCTGAGCAATTAAAATTTGTGAACTGCAACCTTTGTGGGTGGGACACAGGTTCGTCAGCGCAAGAGTGTGACTTGGAGAGCAATATGGAGGGCATTTTCTAAATCGGAGGGGGGCCAGAGCGAGGGACACTGAGTGGATAAAGAAACCAGCAGAGAGGAAAAGGAGACTCAGGCAGAGAGAGACAGGGACTGAAAGAAGGAGAGGGATGACTTTTTCGCACCACACAGCCCTTCGGTCTCTCCCAGGAGCCTCAAGAGACGTGTGTTGAAGGAGCTGGAGAAACAGGGCCTACAGGTTCCCTAAGCAGTGCCTGCTCCAGAGAACACAAGACGACGCTGTGCTTTCTCTCCCAAGCAGACACGCCTGTGCACACCCGGAGGAGCAGGCAGAATGAGCGCAGGCGCGGTTGTCGGGGAAAGAATGACACACGTGGTGTATTAAAGCAACAGTTTCCTCACAACATCACAACAGCAACCTTGTGAGAAGGAGACATTGAGACAATAAGACAAAGCCCTAAACCCAGCACGGAAAACTCAAACAGGACATCAAATACTTGACAAAAAGATAAACTAGAAAGCTCTCAGCCATACTACTCAAACGAAGACATCAATGGTCAAGACCAGAAAGCACTTCCCTTCATGGTGACTTGACACCTGTCCCGCTCATTTTCCTAATATACAAACAAACCAAGTAACCCGGCTTCAGGCCCTCCGAAGAGTAAGTCATCGTCCCTGCAGCAGAGGTGACCTACTGAAGGCGCTTTCACCGGGACACTCAAGAAGAAGCAGATGAGGATTCTTTCAGTTTTTCAGTGAGCTGGATCTCTGTGGTGACCCAGCTGTGAGTGGGCCAGTCACCCAAGAGTCACACGGGCCTGTTTCCTGAAAGGTCAGGGTGAAATTGTACCCACATGGCTGGGTGCCATCTGCCACGCCCTCACTTTAGGGGTGAAGTAACGACAGCGTGCAGAGTGCCCGCTGAGCAGCGCAGTTGAATTCTGTCTCCCACCTCCGGCTTGCCGACTCAAGACACTGGGCACCTTCAGCAGAAGAACAGCACCAGGAGGCCAACAATAGAGGTGCTCAAACATGGGGGGAAAAAAGGAAAACCTGTTGTTTTAGAAAGGTTTAAAAAAAATACATTTTTGTCCCTTAAACAGTTTCAACGCCCTCCTGAATGACATTCTGTGTCAAACAGTGACACGCCCTCTCCCAAGTTCCCTGCACCTGTAAGAGATGGACAGGAGCCCCTGTACTCCCATGAAGCCTGCTGGGGAATCTGTCTAGCACCTGAACCGGTGCCCCCATCTCAAGTCCACCGATAAACCAGCGCCAGGGAAAGTCAATAAAAATCGGGGGCAGGGGATCTGCAGGCTGCCGTCTGCGCACCCAGATAAGATCAGGCCTCTCGGCATCGTTAGAACACCAAACATATTTGCGGTTTGAGCAGGCGTGTCCGAAAAGCCAAGATACACCCTGCTCTGGCATTTTCTGCGCGGTATTGTTGCAGTGAATACAACCAACAAATCACATCGACCGGCCTTCAGCTTTACAAAGGAGCGAGGCAGAGGAAGAGAGACGCAGAATAACAGAAAGTAGGAAACGGAGGGTTTATTTCCATCAGAGCGCTCCAGCGCTTAACCTTAATTTCTCCGAACAGGGAGCCTGGCTAAAAATGCTTCTAAAATGATAGGCGAGAGGCTGGGAGCAACAAGGACAAAAGGACAATGAAGTTCTCTTAGTCACAAGCAATCCTTGCAGTCACACCCATGGGCGCCCGAGGTCAAAGTGCTGTCTGGCTGCATGACCCCGGTCCGACACCATCTCTGCAGGCCCGCTGCCGAGAACAACACCTGCCACGGGACTGGGCTGGCAGCTGCACCGGAGCCCAGGTGCGGCGCACAAGAGCAGGGGATGATAATGGGGGGAGTATGTGAAACGCCAGAACTGCTCCTGCTGCTCCTATTGCAGCTGGGAAGACACCCTCCATTGACTCCCTCTTGGCACTGGGTGCGCCAGAGACTCCGCAGAATAAAGGGGCTAAGTCACACAGAGGCCAAGCGCAACTACCTCCATTAGTATTTCCATAGCGGGTGAAGAAACTCGCTCAGCAGAGCCACCGCGACGGGGAACGACAGCAATCTGAACAATCTCAAACATCTCCGTGTATCGGTAGAGGCCAGTTTCTAAAGAGAGATCTTTTCACGGGACAGGCCCTCTAAATACTCACACACCTACCAAACCGCTCCGTCTTTACAGAAGACGTTAACTGTTTAGAAAGCATAAATGGGAAGAAGGACACCCGAAGAAGGCTCCACAGCCGAAACGTTGCGTTTCTTTTCTTCTCTTTTCAGCCTGGAATAAACCTGTACTTGTTCATCGTCAGCCAGTGTTCCTGCTAGGAGAGATGTCTTCCAGGATAACAATGCCGTCTCCCACAGAGCACATATGGTCATCCAGTGCTTTGATGATCATGATGCTGATGTTATCTTCTCCGTCACCAGATCCGTTACATTAATATATCTTCATGGGATGCTTTGGAACGACGCCCAAGGCCAAATGTTTCTACCTCCATCAACCAAGTGCGAGGTGATGGACGATCCCGTGGAAGGATGGCACCCCATTTTTCCTGCGGAACACGAGACGCTGGCAGACTCTGCAGGCCACATGACCGCACATGGTGGCCTATTAGCTGAATATTATTATTCACCTATTAGTGAAATAAACTGTTACTGATAATGGACAACTGCAAGGGGGGGGGGGGTTTACTTTAGCCAAAGAGTTACAATACAAAAACATCGGTTGAGTTTAAAGGCCAGTGCAGACTGCCCTTTGCTCCCAGCTGTTCCTGTGGCCAGAAGAGCACCGAAGACAAAAAGCAGAATAAAAGGGACAGATCATCTGGCAGCTCTGTGCCAGGTGGGGTGGAGGGGTGTGGGCATCTTATTGCAGCATGGCGAGGCGTGTCCAGGGTGAGTCACTGCAACACCTTTCGTATAAGAAGGGCGAACTCTGACAAGCCACCCAAGCATTTTCTTTAAAAAAAAAAAAACATTCCCTTAGCAAGAAACGCCAAGTGCAAAGGTCTCATTTAGTGCTTCAACACAGAAAGAAAATCATTTTAATTATCTGCGATCTCTTCACAGGAAAAGGATTACCTTCCATGCACGTGGTCTGCAGTTTCACAATCTGAAGTACAATAACGTTCACACCTCTCCAGTGCATTCCCACTACGGTAACAGTAAGGTACCCAAAACATCAACTATGCCGTCAGAAAATGTAGACAAGGTCAATGGTGTGGACACAAACCCATTTCTCAAACCCAAGGTGCAGGAACTATACACTGACCTCATGTAGTTAAATCGGTGATCAAAGTGGTTCTAATGTATAAAAACACTGACGGTTTACCCATCATCTAACTCGTTTGCTTGTTGTACTTAATTTCTAAAAAAAAAAAAGAATATACAATTGCTTATGTTCCCAGTCTTGGTAAGCAATTTAAAACCCAGTCATATTTTGCTGTTCTGCGTCTGGAATGATTTTGGTGAAACACTGCGAGAAAGGTACTGAGCACAGAGGTGAGGCTCCCAGTATCTGACATGTCAACATGGCATACTGAAGGCGCCTTAGTATTAAAAATGATATTTAAAGATACTCCAGGATACTACCTAACAGAGCCCACTAGTGGACTACGCAGGCTGTGGAACACAAGCCCATAAAACATGCTAGAATCCATCGGTCACAGCAAGTCCAGGAGTTCCATCGGCATGTGTTCCTGGGCCCATGCAGGCTGCAGAAGGCCCAGAGCTGAGCTCTACAAACCCCTAGGCCTTTGCAAAAAAAAAAAGGGGGGGGGGGAAAAAAAGCCTGGGCCCAGATTAGCTGCCGAATCCAAAGATTCCCTTGATGTAGCCGGTGAGGCCTCCCTTGCCCTTCTGCTCCACCTTGTCGTCCAGAGGCGGGAAGGCCACGTGGTTCAGCGCCAGGTCGAAGAACAGGGGCTTGCAGGGGATGGGCTGGAACTCGGGGGGGAACTGCACCAGGTTGGGCTGCTTGCCGACGAGGGAGGCGTCTATGGAGAAGGTCTCCAGTCGTTCACAGAGAGGCTGAAGGTGGGGGGACAGAAGCAGGGAAAGGAAAAAAAGAATCGGGTCAGAACTCTCCAGCCGGCGTGCCAGTGACAAGCGCGCGCACACGCACGCCGACGAGAGCAGAGCCCACTGCCCTCTCTGTCCTTTACTGTGAACCGTGACGAAGGCAACAAGGGAGCCAATGGAACCAATGGAACCAGAAGGAATTAAGTGAGCATTCGGCATAGGAATCAAAAACAATTGGGTACGGATACAAAGAAACAGAGGGAATACAAGAGGAGTGGAGCTGCCTGACTCGACAGCAGAGCCTGCAGAGACTCCCATGAGCCTCAGGGGTCTTACCATGTAATGTAATCAATCAAGCTATGGGCTGAGTGTGTTATTCTAATGGAGATGGATGATGCCATATTTTACTGGAAAGTACCTTTTCTCCTGCCACCCCAGAGTGACACTTTCATTAACGCCTCAGCCTTATGCAACAGGGTGCAAACACTTACAACCATCACCGACAGTGACTTAAACCCCCCCCCCCCAGCATAAACCCTTATTAATTTCTACATTCATGTTTTCACCCAAAGGGGATGCCAAAAATCCTGAGAAAGCTTCCCCCATTTTCTATTTGCCTATATTATTTCACATGACGATGCGCAGGCCAGACAAATGCTACAAGCGGTCTACTGCAAAAACCTATACCGGGTAACCTAGATGAGCATTAGAACACCACCAGCCCACACCTTCCACAGTGTGAAGAAGAATAAAGACAGGTCACAGAAGTATGCAACGGCTCTGGTTTTCATCTCGGTGTTCTGAGCTTTCAATTCACTCTTTCCAAATTCCGTCGTTCAGGATGCTAAATGCAGCCCGCGTTCGATCCCACCCAGCTTCCAAAGGGCTCGTTTTCTTCCCCGCTGAGAAAAGGGATTTAATTATTTTCCTCCAGTCTCAATGATCAACACTCGGACTCACCTTGCCGTCTTTGACTTGGGACTGCAAAGGGGTTTCACACACGTCCTCGGTGTCTGAAACGGAAACGCAGAGAGACGCGCACAGACTTCGTAAGTAATGGGCAGCCAAAACGAGACTTCGAACTGCTCAAAACCCAGGTTATAAAAACCAGAGGAATTTCAGCAATGCAAAAGGGTAAAACATTGCAATCAAAGAAGGCAGTAAAAAAAGAGGCTTTTCATTGAAGCAAATATGTGAAATTTTTAAGTCAAGCCAAGACATCAAAGTGAAACACCTAAGTCTTATCTAACGCTACACCTGAGAAGATGACTGCATAAATCCAGTAAAACTTCTGGATTCCTTTTACCTTAGCAAGGTGATGCAGGTGTGAGTGTTCAGCTATTCTGTGAACACCCTTAAATTTAAAGAACATTCTGGGAGAAAAAGGTTTCAGAATTTTACTTGATGGGAGTCTTTGCTGCTGGCGAAGACCTTAGGCACTTTGGATGCTCTCCAAACAGTGCCATTGATACCCACCCAAGATAGCGGCAGCCTGCAGCGAGTACTTCTCAGCATTGACCTCAGATATCAGCTCCTGCACATCTGGGAGATCCTACAGGAAAGAGAGGTGTGAGTGGGTCACATCTAGACACTATATCCAATTTCAACTTAATCCTCCAAGAAGCAGAATACTTCCTTAATTTTAAGATTATTAATAACGTTTGGCCGTGTCTCCATCTTTGATTAGTTTTTTTATACGCCCTGGAATAGTTGCTGCTGGGATTTGATACCTTTCCAATAAAGGCAATAAAGAGGAAATGATTTTACTGTATTGTAGGCTGCTACTGTGATTGTCACTCCTGGTACACACAGTGCAACACACTGCTTTGAAAGCCACACCTATTGAAGGACAATTCTGCAAGTTTACTCCAACAGTTTATGGAAGCCTGCCAAGTCTTAGATGGTTATTGATATTTCATCACCTTGTGAGCCACTTTATCCTACTACAACTACCACTAGTGCAACATTCCAGCTCTCTGCCCAGCTGCAGTTTCATCTGAGTTTTCGGTACAGTAGACAGCGATGCTAACAAAGCTGCAACATATTTTTCAGCAAGAGACATAAAACAAACAGGCTCATGCCTTCAGACTGTTTTTCAGGTTCCTGGACTGTGACTGGACCTCACGGGCGTACTTCAGGACTCGCTCATACAGAACCAAGGCCTCACTCCACTTCTTCACCAGTACATAGGACTGGGCAATGAAGAAACACCTGCATGGGGGAAGAGCAGACTCCAATGACTACAAACCATGTTTCTAGACACATAACACGTGAATACTAACCATTCGAAAAGCTTCAATAAAACCAGAGTAAAGTTCTGCAGATGGACGGACATCTCTTTATATCATGTCCAGTTTCTTTACCTGTAGGCCTTGTAGACCAGTGTTTTCAGGGCCACCTCCTTCTGGAAGCTGTGGTCTTCTTCCAGGCCCTGCAGGACAGACAGCTCCGCCAGGCTCTGAGGAGGGAAGGAGAGGCAAGACTCACACCATCATCCTGGCGCAGCTCTCCAGTGACCCCCCGGCCTACAGGCCTGCACGCCAGCAGCTACGCCACCCTGCTCTGCCCTGCAGCGCGGCGCAGCAACAGCAGTGCCAGCCTACAATACAGCGGACCTGGCTGGCTTTGCGAAAATCCTCTGAACATTTTCATTCCAGAAAACCTAATAAAAATGCAAATTGCAGCAAGAAGCAAACAAATGCTATAATCACTGTAGCTAGTTCCCATGTTGCACAGTGCTGAGCAACACTGACTCAACTTGTGCTACACTTGAGGAGATTTTACAGGTCTCTCCATATCTTAAAACTTGGGGACAATTAAGCACAATTAAGCAATTAGTAACCTTACTCAATCCAGACACAAGGCAGACGCTCAGTCATCAAGCAAACCGAACCGACTGAATGACGGTGGTCCAGGAGAACAGCTTACCTGCAAAATAATGTCGTAGAGGCGGATGAGATCCTGGGGCCGGGGACCCCTCTTGTTCTCGTCCGGCTGCGGCTCCTTCAGCTTGGCGTGCAGAGCCTGAGCCATGCTCTCATTGCGCTTCACCACGGTCCACAGCTTGAGGTAGGTCAGGTAGCTAGAATCAGGAACGAGAGAGGTACGCGTTAACACGGGACACGAAATGATGCTATCGGCGTGCTAGCTCCAAACACGGGCCAGCTGCAGATGACTATAATTCTTCAGCTTCACCACACTCATTGCACGTTCCTCTTACTAGCTTTCAGATGCACCAGATGTATTGACCAGTAACGCAATTAAATGCAATTTCCCTCGTCAGTAACTGAGGAACTTGTAGCACCTCAGCAAAGGAGGAGGGAGTATATAAAGGAAAACAAACGTTTTTTTCATTACCTGTGCAGGTACTGCAGGTTGGAGACCTTCCCAGTGTCCATGTCCATGGCTCTCTCTCGCTGCTTCTGCAAATTATAGACAATCAAGCTTCCACTTAACTCCACCCTCCCAACATCCTCTTCAGAAACAAAATGGAGCCATGCCACCGCCTCGTTTTAGATCACAGACCGCCTACAAGGAGGTATTATTGAAATGCAGCCTTCTCCATATAGTTGCCCTTTCTTCAAATAATCACGCGACTCAATGTCATGGATGACGTTTAGAAATTAGAACAGAAGAGAAAGGTCGAAAGCCATGCAGAACAGAAGGCAGAAGTGAGCTAATGCAGGCGTGAAGCGATGAGCCCGAGCGGTCGGTCAGGCACATTGGGACGAGCCCCCGTACGTACAGAGTCGGCCTTGATCTCCTCCCGCACGGCCTGAATGGAATCCCGGCACTCGCTGAGCAGGGTCTCGTACAGGCGCTCCTTAGTGTCCTCATTAGCCGCCTGGGAGGAGGGAGAGGGACACGAGGCTGCTGACAACGTTCTTCATCTCGCCACGCCGCTCCCACCCCAGATCCAGCCCACAGAGCTCCAGAAGTGGCACAATCCCCTCTCACCTCTGGTTAAACATGAGTGCGAACCCTGGGCTTGTGCAAGCAGGACTTGCTACCTGTCAGTTTTTGTTTAAGCACTAATTGAAGAAATAGGTATTCTGTTCGAGGCACAATGAGAAAGAATGTGCATAATCCAAGCACTGCAGGAAATCTGTTTAAATGTGGTAAATAAGTTTACCCAACTTTCCCCCCTTTTAACACCTTGTTCAGGTGGAAAGCAACATTTCCTGTGTTGCACTACAAGATGCACATTTAAGGTTTTACAATCACAACACTTGTCTAAAAACTGTGTAACGCACATTTGAAAAAGTGCCATCACATGTGGTTGCTGTGCAAGCAACAATGCTTGAATGATTATTAAAATATTTAAACATTAAATATCTCATTTTATACTGTTCTTGTGCTGCGCCCACGTCAGAATTTGGGACCCAGATCCCTGGGGATGTTGCTGCATTTTCCATCTACTGCTAGAAGCATTTAGGGTACTGCACACCACACCACAACCCACAGCATGTGCTTAAAACAACCGAATGCAGAGGCCGTGTGTATTAGTGGACTGCAAAGACTCTTTGCAAAGTGGGACAAATTAACTCGAATAGTGAAATTCTGGCCACCTGTGTTCTGCTGCAGACTGCTGGAAAGTTGCGCGGCTTCCTATGGTTTAAGCAATTACGAGAATTACCACTTTTATACCACCTAGGAAGGCAGCACCTTTGTGTACAAGTTAATAGTGTGCGGGGAACTTTATTGTGCAATTTTTCGTGCCGAACTTTAAAAGTGGAATCTTCATAAAAATTCCAGAAGCTGCCTACGGTTGGACAAGAAAAAAAAAAAGCGAGTGACACGTCTGAATGCAAGCAATCCGACACAACAGGTTAAAAAGACATTCCTTCTCGGACTAACCCCTGCGCCGTGCCCGAGCACTTTCACCGGGGGGCTGGCTCTCCCTGCATTATGAATGGGACACAAAGTGATTTATCTATGGAAAGTATGGCCATCTCAGCAGAAAGGGTGATAAGGAATAACCTGCAGGGAGCTGCAAGATGAACCACTTGAGGAGTGTGTATCAGACTCTGCAAACATTAATGATACATCTCAGTGAAAGCAAACCAGGTCGGATAGCCATTACTCTAGCAATAGAGTAATAGCATAATGCAGGGAGAGCAGATGCGGTAGTGGCCTTCACCCTACACAGCAGGGTAAGTCGCCTAAACTGGCAAAATCCTGTACAAGACCAACTGGGGGAACCAGTCGTCCCTCTTCACCCTACACACACACACAGGAGTGTGTGAACTGGGAGGGGGCACCAAACCTGTCTCTCGGCTCCCAGAGAGTCTGCGGTTCTCCCTCCCTCTAGGAACACAACATAACAAATGGTTTTCAATAAGTGCTTATTTAATTTGTTCTACGAAGCACGCTGTCCAAACAACCCAGCTAGCTGAGTACCCCAGGGCAAACTGGAGCACAGTCAACCCCAGTACAGAGGTAAGCTTTCAATATGTTAGATGCCAGAGGAGAGTTACGCACCATGCAATATGGTCTTTTCACTCTTCTAAAGGCAAACACTTTTCACACGGATAGTTCTGTGTTAAGTTGCATTGAAACTCCTTAAAAAGCCTCTACTATTCCCCCATGGTATCTTATCTTATCTTATTTCCCCATGGTATGTATTTTCATGGTCCTTGCAGCTCACTTCTGGGTGTTTACTTGAAACGTTAATACAAAAATCCATTTAAAACAGGTGTGCTGGTTATCAGGAAAGTGGCAGTGTCTGAGGTTTCGGTGTGACTGCCTTCGTGCTTTGGGAGTGAGTGTGGTCCGCTGTCGGTGTGCGGTGAGGGTGTGGCAGGGAGAGGCAGACACGCGTCCCTCCGAGCAGGTGAGTGGTGACTCAAAACAGGTGCACACGAATGACAGGAGCTTCCGGGAAAAAAAAACCCAGAGGCAAACAGCACCACCTGGTGGCGACCAGAGTTGGCAAAACCACCACTGAATGGATAGTCAAGGTCAGGATGCATAAACCAAAGGAAGTCATTTTGCATTATAAAGAAAAAATGTTAAATCTCTGCCAATTCAGTTAAGATAACCAACAACAAAACCTGTATCCTGCAAATGATTTATGTTATTCAGACTTGTTGCAACCTTCTCCGACAGCAGGCGGAGTGAAGCGCCGGTTGGAGTATTCTCGGTCGCATTTCATGGCAACGTCAGCTCAAAGATTTGGTTCAAACCACCAAATGGAGACAGGCGTGCCGACAAGCGGACCCTGCTGATGCGAGATTAACGCTAGGATGAGAGAGAGAGACTTGCTGCAACCTTATTCACTATTAATGCTCTTGAAACGTGTTTTTAGTCCAGTGACAGGTGTCAAGCTGCCTGTAATAAATAAAGCTTCCATGAGGCCCCAGCTGATTGTGGCACTGATATAAAACAGGGGGTCAGGGCACCAGCCAGAGGGGGGCTCACCTGAGCAATGGCCGCCTCGTTGTCCGCCAGCCCCAGCAGGAAGATCCGGACCTTGTCAATCTTCACCGGGACGGTCCGGCCACGCCACTCAACCTCGCTCATGGTGGCGGCCTGCTTGGCGCGGGTCTGGGTGATCAGGGCCTGGGCACAACGACACCATCAGCACAGAACGCAACAGTCACACAACAGTCACCCCCTCACCGCTGGCACCCTGTCTGAACACCACTGCCACGATCCTGAACTGTGCCACAACCTTTTCTTGTCTGGACCCACAGATACTGGACTATACTGCCCTACATGACCTTAACCATGCCAGTATAACCTCACGTCATAGGAACACAACATGATTCTCTAAGCACTGCTTTTATTTCCAAACCACGTGTAAAGTATGACTATTTGATTAGGGGATTTAACTGATGAAACAAAGTACATCCCAAAGATCAGAGGGATATGACAGCACATGGCAGGGTCACCAATCTAAGGCACACAGTTAAAATGGTCTACGTTCTCATCTTAAAAAAAAAAAAGTGAAGTATCTCAAAAAACTGCTTTCATGAATACATGCATCTCCGTGCACCCAGACACCTACAGCAATACAACACGTCTCCCAAAATAGTAATAAAGTGCAGTGCAGCTGCCGTTTTCATCTAGACCATGTCAGAGAGATCTGGGCTGAGCATGAGCGACTCCTAGTGCTAGAGAGTCAGAGCCAAGAGTGAGAACTGTGAACCTCTTGGTAACAAGTACTTTGTACTTTGACTAACAGCCCCACCCCAGACCGCGACGGCCCCCTCTCCGGTCACACTCACCTCCAGCTTCTCCGCTATCATGCCTCCACCACCTCCGGCGCTCAGCCTCATCTGCATCAGGTCGTTAATGGCATTCTGGTCACCTAGAAACAGAGCCGCAGGAGCGCTCGTTAGCGGGGTGGGCTTAATAAAACAACCTGAGGTAAGGACTCTCCCTTTACTTGAACTGACTGGGGACCATAAATAAAAGAGAAAGAACCGTGTTCACTGCACAGCTAAGCAAAAGCATGACCTGTTGCACGACTCGAGCCCCACATGCCAACAATCCAATGGCTGCCGGACGGACATTTTCCAAGAAAACAGAGACATTACAGAAGCAGCTCTCCCTGTCCCGCAAACACGAATCCCCCCCAGTGCCGACAGCTGTGTGCAGGGCTGCAGGGCTCCTCACCGATGTTGTAGGCGCAGTAGCGGATGTTAGGGGAGATCTCCTCCACTCGCTGGTGGTACAGCACAGCCTGCTCCTCTGTGAACGCGCTGGCCAGCTTCTCGTAGATCGTCCTGCAAAACAAGCGCGCGGGTCAGCAGAGAGCAGAGAGCTCCCGCCCGGTGCAAAACCACCGGCACAAAATACAACTTTATGACAAAAAAAACTTCCGAAATTTCTGTCCAGCTCCTTTTCCCTCACATGAATTACCATCTAGTGCAGAAACAGGCAGAAACAGGCTGTCTGCTGTCTTCCACACCACGACTAACGCCGCTCCTTAAATCGGAGCCTTCAAGGTTTACTCTCCATTTTAAGTTTTTATTAATTATGACCTTATGATGTAAGGAAGAACTACTATACTCTGATGGCCTGGTGTCTAATCAAAATGTAACCCTTCAGGGGTCCGAGCAATGGGAAGTCACCATCCTCACAGCAGTGCTTCCTGAGCAGCTGCACACTTGTGGCTCTTTTCACATACTTGCACTTGTTGAAGGCCTCCATGGCTGCCTTCCACTCCTGTAGCTCGAACCACAGCATCCCAGTCAGGTAAGAAGTGTAGGCCTGCCAATTAAAATAAAAATACATCAGCCACTGCTCACTGCTGCCACCTGCAGGAGACAGAGAGTCCTCGCAGCGGAAGAGCTCCAGACACAGGCCAGGGAGAGGGAAGAGGCAGGTCACAATTGATAGATTTATAGATAGATACTTTACTGATCCCGTGAGGGAAACTGCAGTGGAACAGCAGCTTACCACAGAGTAACAAAATGATACAATAATACAACAATACAAAACATACAATGAAGTCAGTGAGAAGTGCACTAAGAAGAGCTGCTCACAGTCCAGAATATACAAAAAACAAACCAGAACAGAACAGTACACAAAACGTTGTATTGCACCATTATAAATATAAATATATTCCACAAGTCAGTTGTAAACAGGAAAGATGTAAGCAGAGATTTATACAGCTCCCCCAGAAAAGCTCAAAAGGCTGTAACCCAATCCGCGGCCTTGAGACCCCACTTCCTGCTTTCACACATCCGAGCCGCCAGTTACTGAAGGGCTTCTAAAAAGGTTCAGGTTTTTAGTTTTCACACCTTAACGTATGGGGTTCGTAAGGAAGAGCGGGTTAGCAGAAACACGAGGGGGAGGCCCCAGGGACAAGGCTTTAAGAGCTCAGCCAGGGAGGAGGCCAGTTCTCCAACACCAGCAGAGGACTCCGCTCTTCACACAGGACGTTCAGCTCAGTTCATTCGTCACGCGCACAAATGCACTGAAATGGGTTCGTGTGCGCAGCTCAGCAGCCCCCCCCACCCGGACTCTCCCCACCTGGGCCTCCAGCTTGGTCTTGGCGTCGACCCTGGGGCTCTCGCACAGGCGCTCCAGCTCCTCGCCGTGCTTGGCCGCCTTGCGCAGGCGCGACAGCAGGTGGAAGCGCTTCCGGGGCTCGGTGTTGGCTTCCTGCTTCAGCTGCATGGCGTAACTCCAGGCCCGCTCCGCCTCCATCAGCACCAGCAGCAGGTACCTGCCGGGCGGGCACACGGGGGGGAGAGGGGAGCAGAGACCACGAAGCAAACAGCAATGAATGTTCAAAGCAAAATACCGAGCTGAGAGCACTGAGAGACAGGATGAGAGTGGAACAGAGCGAGAGGGAGAAGGAAATCTGAGAATCCAATGGGATGCATGTGAACAGGAGGAAGACATCTCTTCCCTAATGCAAAAACAACTCCAGATTCTTTTAATTAAGCCAAACGGGTGCACACGAATTACGTGTTGTGTCAGAGCCCAGAGGGCAGCAGGACAGGGCAGGTACACGCACCTGCTGTCGGAGAGCATCTCCACCGTCACTTTCTTCCCCGTGAACTTGTGGCGGTTGCCCATCTTGAAACCCAGGGTCTTGCGCAGGCGTCGCAGGCGGCGGGAGCAGTAGCCCCTGAGACACACAGCGAGGGGGCAAGGTGAGCGACCGGGCCTTCCAGAGAGCGACCGTTCGGACCCGCCCTGCCGGTCCCCCCCGCAGCGCGCGCCCCCTACTCACCTGTACCGCTGGTAGTCCCCATGCCTCAGGCCGTGCTGCTGCTGAGAGTCCTTGATGATCTGCAATACTGCGAGGCCACATTAAGGAGCCTGCTGGTCACATGCTGGGACAATCCCCTCTGTTCAACACCTGGGACCTGCCTCTGCTTTCGCAACCCTCACCAAGCCCTGCTACTCAGACAGATCAATCTCGGACAGATCAACACGCAAAACATGTGGTGGCACTGTGACTCAGGACCTGCGCCTGTGGCTGGAAGATTGCCAGTTCGAATCCCACGGCCGGCAGAGGAATCCTACTCCGTTGGGCCCCTGAGCAAGGCCCTTAACCCCAGCTGCTCCAGGGGCGCCGTATAAATGGCTGACCCTGCGCTCTGACCCCCAGCTTCTCTCCCTGTCTGTGTGCCTGTGTGTCTCATGGAGAGCAGTTTGGGGTATGTGAAAAGCCAAAATTCCTAATGCAAGAAATTGTATAGGGCTAATAAAGTGATCTTGATGAAAACTGAAAGCATCAGGTCAGGGAAACATGCACGGCAATATACAGCCTATATGTTCATTTTTCCTCTTCCTAAGGATCTGCGCCTGTGGCTGGAAGATTGCCAGTTCATATCCCGCGGCTTGCAGAGGAATATTACTCCGTTGGGCCCCTGAGGAAGGCCCTTAACAACAGCTGCGCCAAGGGCGCCGTATAAATGACTCCAAGCTTCTCTCTCCCCACCTTGGAGAGTAAGCCGGGGTATGCAAAAAGACAAATTCTTAACGCAAAAAATTGTATATGGCTAATAAAGTGATCCTATCTTATCTGTGGACATTTCTCTGAACAAAACTAACTTTCTCAGGCGCTTCAAAACATTCTGTGTGGGGGTCACGTCCTCAGTTCCAGCTTAATTTAAATTTAATACAAATTTAATTTGATTTATTCACCAGGTTAATCTTCAGGGACAGCCTTGCCTACAGATCAAACTGGTAACCCAACTCAAAACTCCGCAAGAGGTTACAAGAAGGTGTGCAAAATCTATTTATTTACTTAAACATTAAATAATCAAAATTAATTATTGATAGGCTCTGTGCAACGATTGGCCTCGTTTCATGCCCAGACAGAAACGAGTTCAAGCTGTTAAAATTCCACAGATTGGGTAAAAGGGAGCCAATGACATCGCCTTGTCAATCCAGACCCTGATACAGCAGTGTCATAGCTCTCCAGCTATCTCTGTAAGAAATTATAATTGATGGTACAGCCTGACAAGAACAGCCCGTTCTGTGCACAGAACTACACTTTGCTGCGGTGACTAACAATGCTCTGGTAAACGCGACTTGGCGACAGATGTCCAAGGAGTAACGCGTAACGTGCTGTGAGGCAGGGATAGACGTTTCAGTTACAAGAAACCAGGCGATCAAGCCGGCTCTACCCAATTAGGACTGCTGTCTAAATTCAAGCAGATACGATAATAACTAATGTAGCAGTCTCAAGGATTAATTTGCAGCCACACAATTTGCAGCTTGGATATCCAAGCAAGATCATACTTTATATATGTCTAACGAATTTGTGCTTTCAAATTTCGAGAGCGACCCGGTTGTGACACGTACCCATTATAACCACCCCCCCTCCGCACGCAGCAAGAGTTTCCCCCACTTCACCCGCACGAACCCCAGCGCCCTCTAATCTGGTCGGAGGTCAGGACAGTGACGATTGTTAGGATACTCTCGAGTCCGAGGCCTTCCTCGGGTTTTTTTTCCTTGTTTTCATCCATTACGGCTGATTGAGCCTCGCCGTGCTTCTCCGCAGCCATTTTTACACGCTGGCGTAGGGAATTATGGGAACACACCTAGCGGAAATTCCTGGCAAAGGTCAAACTGCCGAGGGCGGAGTCTTCGGGCGGCCATTTTGGATGTGGCGATCGATTTCCTCTCAACGCTACTGACCTTCCCGTTGAACCATATAAAATCTTAAAATGTTTCTCGAAACAAACATTTAAAAATATGACCGATACATTTAAGGGATATTTGTATCAGATTTTAAAGTCAGATGACAGGTTTTTTTAAACCAATCCATTTAAAAGAGAACTTTCAAAGTTATGTTCAGCAGGACAGCAGACTTTTCAACAAATCACAGGATTGGTCACCTTTAATTGAATACAGGAATAAACAGTTTGCTAATGCTGTAACATTACGCAGGAAAAGCACATGGATATCAATCAATTCATAGGATTTAAAGTAATCCTTAAAAATACCCGTTCCTCAATTCAGTTTTTAGGGTCCACCGATAAACATTTTGTAATACCCCAAAACCCATCGTAGTTTAAGTTCATTAACCTGAGGACAATACACAGAAACGCTTCATCAAAAACAACACAGAACGTGGTCTTTATTTTTATTTTATTTAGATGTGAAACGTTTCTTTTGGCTCCCTCAGGTCTTCTCGGCTGCCGTGATGTACTTGGCCAGGAAGTCCTTGATCTCGGAAACGTGCATCATTTCCTTGATGGAGGTGTCGCGGTTCCTGACCTGCGCCACCCCATTCTCCAGGGTGGTGTCGCTGATCAGCACGGTGAACAGCACCCCCATCTCGTCGTACCTGAAAACCACACAGGGCGCACTTGCAGAACTGATACCGTTAAGCATGAGCATTATGCGTGCACTGTAACTGTTCCCTCACTGTTACGAAGGTTTGTAACATTTGGAATCGCCAGTTGTGCATTTTTATTTTTAAAACAACCCAGTTTCTTAAATGGGCAGTTGTTTTAAGTCTCTGCTCTCCTGCAATGTGCATCAGTCACCCATTTGAGTCCCATATTTGTCGTTCGGCATGCTGCCAGCTCCACAGTGCCTCACAGGTGAGCTAGCACCGATTGGAGGGGCTTGAGCTCTCTCACCGAGGTCACTGCCAGCCTGCAGGCCCTTGGCAAGTCTCCGCATGTCCGAAACCAGGGAGAGAGCGCGCCCTGGCTAGCTAACACCTACCCAGCCCTGGCAGCACTCTGTCCATAGAGAGAACCCCGATCACAGCTGGATCTGAATCAAGATGCTCCCCAAGAGAGAGCTCTTACTGACGTTGCCCCATTTGTTTTTGTGTGGAGCACTTGGAGCAACTGCAATGAAGGGCAATATTAAAATAATACTCTGCTGGGTATTATTACTCCCAAGCCAAGCATGCAACTGGAATCCCTGAGCTAGTCATCTTGAGCAATTCAGTTGGCAAATTAGAGTGACATAAAATATTTAAGGAACAAGTAATAGGTTTATTCCCTGCTGAAAAAAGAAGAAAGAAAACAAAACACGTTTCGGCCGTGGAGCCTTCTTCAGGTCCTGACGCAGCTACCTACCTGAACTTTAAAATATTTAAGCTTGTTAAGCATTTAAGCAAAGTCTTTTTCTCTCATACAAGGGCTGCTCTCAAGATCAGGAATGACCAGCTTACTTGGTGTGCAGCTGCTCCATGGAGGAAGGCATGGTCTCCAGGTATCCTGGCCACACAGATATTCCACTCTCCAGAAGCTCCTGGAGCAATCCCTCACACACCTACAGAAACGAAGCCAGCGTGGACATTACCGCGGTGACAGTCATCACATTTTTATCACAGCGTGTCAAAAGTTCCGACGCAGGAACAACAGAACTTGCTCATGTTGGTGCCGTTTTCAGAGCCAAAATCTAAGATCCATCCAACTCACGGATCAAAAGTCTCCCAGTGGGGACCTCCTGCTGGAAGGTGAAAATGTACTTTCAGGACTTTTTGCACAAACTGATCCATGCACCAAACCACTGACCGGAAACCAAGCGCAGCCTAGAGGTGTGTGGCTAGAAACTAACCAGCAGGCCCCGCTGCGTAGACCGCTTTACCCAGAAACCTACACGAAACGTCTCACCGAGATATAAACTTTTATACAGACATAAAAGTTTGAAAACTGTTTCATGTCTTCAACTGAGATCTCGAGAGCAGGCGACGAGTACCTGCCGCAGCTCCATCGTGTGGCCCCGCCCCATGTTTAGGGCCACTTTGACCGGAGCCAGGCTGGGATGGAGCTTCAGCACCTGGAGACAGAACCAGAGCGTGGGAAGGGTTAGAGGAAAATGCACACTGGCTCGCTGGATTGAGGCATTC